TCCACACTGCAACAGCATGTGCAGTACCAGTGCTTCTTCCCAGAGACTGCAAACATTTTTCTGTAACCTACCCTTTTTTTTTCCCACTAGATTTTCATCACTGCTTCCTCACCAATGGCAATCTCTTCTGGCCTCTGCTTCAGAAAGCTGATTTCCATTCTCTTTCACCCCAACCTCTTAACATCTCAGAATCAATGATCTTGCTCAGAACAACAGTATCCTGCAAGACCTGCATTCTTGCACATATGTACACACACACACATATATAACAAAAAAAACCCAAAACAAACAAACAAACAAAAAATACAAAAAAACACAACAACAACAAAAAACCCAAAACCAAACCAAACAAAACAATCATACAAGAACCAAAATATACCGCTCAAATGGATCAGTGCTATTCTTGCTATTTTGCACAGCAAGATGATTAATTCTATTTGTGGAATCAAAGCAACTGGCTGCATAACAAAGAAACTCAGTACATTAAGGGAAGAGGAAACCAACCAAATCTTTGAACTTGGCTTATTGCTATGGCCAGCCAAGAGGAACGGTGGGATGTTTCGAGGTCTACCCAGTGGTCACCAAGACATGTTCCACTGTTATTCAGATTGGAGGCAGCAGGATTCCCAAGCATGGTATGGCTTTCAGGCCAGCAGGAACAGGGATGCTCTCCCAGGAAGGCATACTGACCACTGTGGGTTCACAAGAAAAGACATCTTTCTTGAGCATCTGACCTGATCTTTACTTCTTTGGCTGAACCTTTTAAAGACCAAAGAAAACAAGGAAAGATGATGAAACAACATGCCCTGCCACCATTCATCTTACTCAGGAGCTACTATCAGGCTTAACTAACAAGCATCATCAGCTCCAAACATTAACTTGCTTATCTTCCAGCAACAGCTTTCAGCTGCTCATGAAATGGAGGCAGAGCACAGGTTACTCGTAAAGAATCCTTCCTTTAGGCACCCCCTTCTCACCTCCAAGCAGGTCTTGGACCAGACCCAAGAACGGGACTAGTTTGGGGCTGCTCTTTTATGCCGCAGTCATGCATGAATAGGGGCCAGATACAAAGGCAGCATTGTATCAGCTTTGTTGGGAAGGTTGTAGCCTTGCTTTCCTCCTCCAAGTCATCCTCCCAAGGCAGGCAGCTCGCGTAGGAACACCGTGTTACGGATGGAGTATTTTTAAAGTTCCAAAAATAATTCCTGTGAAGAGTGAGAAATTGCGTTTGAATCCCGACAGAGCAACAGACAGGCTGAAGCTGGATGGAGGACACGTAGATCAGAGACAAAGCAGTCACGACAATGCTGCTGAATACCATAGGAGGCAGACAAGGTAGAATATCAGCAGTCTGGGGCAGAATGAGGCTTTTTTTCCTTTCTTTCTTTCCTACACAAGGCTAAAAAAGAGAAAAAAATAGCAGAGAAGTCTTGATAATCACAGATTTCTGAGTTGTATCTGCACTGAAAGCACACTGAACAAGTGCTAAGTTTTTTGATGAAGTCTTCAAAGCATGCTTCTAAAGAGGCTTGAGGACAAAGAACACTGCTGTTAAATAAAAGGTGATCAAGCCTATCAGAGAGGCACACCCAAGGCATTTCATATAAACATCCCAAAAGGTATCTACTCAAAACTTAAGAGATTACTTTGGAAAATTTTTGAAAACTGTGACTCACACTTGAGAAGATAAATAGGAAAGCTGGAGACCATGCTTTAAAGAGCTGCTAGGCTTGGATCTCCATTGCTGTCTCAAAAGTTGGTTGCAGGTTTGGTAAAGTTGACAGCAACTTTCCTCGAATTGCACATTCTGGAGTTCATCCTCCCATTATATTTTCATTGCAGTGAAATTGAATTAAAACTGATCAAACAATAGCTGAGGATTACAGAATATTTTAAGAGGATGTTCTTTCACTTTGAGCTAAAATGAAACATTGCCAAGGGCTGGCAGAAAAACAGCAAAGAAGGAACATGATTAAAAAGGAAAGCGCTATTACAAAGACAAATGGCACATTCTGAATGTCGGCTATTTAAGATACTTACAGACCGTGTAAAAATAATGCACTGAGCTACTGAAATGGTGTTTTTGGACAGGCATATGAGATTACAAAAAGGCACTGGGGTTGTTAAAGTGAGAAAACCTTCTCCTCTAGGCAAGAAAAATTAGAGAAAGGCTTTGTACCATGCACTGCTGCCATCAGGGCAGAGAAAGAAACCATCCCAAACATTAGCTCTCGCCGAGGTGTCAGGGGCCACACGTCTTCACGCTTCACTCCCCCTCTTAATTCTCACTGGCGTGACCCATATGCTGACTCCCCATCTGTGCTACACATGCAACATCCCTTTTCCCCATATTGGGTGGGAAGTGGAAAAAAAAAAGCAAGAGCTGGTCCAAAGGGTTAGAAACATCTCTCACAGCAAAAAGTAACAAGCAGAAGCAACTTGTTTTATTTCCCTGCTTTTTTGAAGGGCTGTGAAAATTTAAAAAATGTATTAAAGAGAATAGAGGATTTTCCATTAATCCTTAAAAAAAGTTCATTAACACCTTGACTAACAGCTCTGTTCATGGCATTTTTTGGGAGTGACAAATCCTAACAGCATTAAAGTATGAATTGACCTTGTTTCTTTTTCTGTTTAAACATGAAAATCATGGTGCCATTTGGGTCAGGCCGTAGGCCTGGCAGAAAATCATGGAACTAAGATTTCAGGAGAAAATTTTTCTAAGTGCCCCCGAGTGTTTCTAATGGGATATCCAGGTGGCAGCACTAACCTGCCCCTGAGGGGGATGCCCAGGCAGGCAGTGCCACCTCAGCAGCCGGCTGGGATGGACGGCAGAGAGCAGAGCTGGAAACCGCTGCTCCGCCGTCCAGCACGGCTGTACCGTAGCCAACATCTCATCACTTATTAAGATAAAGAAAACCTATTTAGCTGACATTTGCTTTGTGCACGATTAAGCCAGACTCTGCCTTTGCCCACACTTGCCCAGTTGGCACGTATGTTAATGCACAAAAGAGTACAGACAGGCACCCACACTGCAGCAGCCTTTCCTTTCACAAAGGAGCTAGGCCTGGCACTGCCACCCCAGGTCCTGCTTTATTCCAACTGTAAATGGCTTTTGCAGCGTGCCCAACTGGCACGTCCTTTAAAGTTGCAACAGGGATGGGGGGTGTTGGCTTTCCAAACTGAATTAATCACTTCTGAAGAAGCCAAATTTGCAATTGAGAGAGCCAGACTTGTGTTAAACTGCAGCCTGGACAAGGGAAACGGGAGGAAAGCAGCCTTTCCCACACCTTCTCCCAGCACCATTTGATGCCAGGTGGAGGCATGAGGCCAGCCAGGACGAACACTGCTCCTGCCAACCCAGGTGGCAGCTCAGCACCACCCAGGATGACACTTTCTGTCATACATACAGCTGTCCTGGAGCAACCAGGCTGCTGTCACCCACTTGCTCACCACCAGACCTATAATAGCTGCCTATAACAACCTTCATTGCTCATTACTGCTTTAAACCAGGAATTCAGAGGAGGAGGAGGACAGATTGAATTACTACCTCCCTGAACTAGACTGCCTTCAACTAACATTGTTAAAACCTTATGTGAAATAATACAGGATGAATTGTGAACCTCTTTATTGGTTTCTGGGTAGACAGCTTTAAATGCTAATCATAGCGAATTAAATTACTTAACTTCATTTGCCTCTGCCAATGGGCCATGTGATAGGGTAACTTTGGACGACAGTGCTCTTGGAGTCTGTGGCTCTCATACTTTACACTGGGGCAATGTTAATCACCAGAAAATTTAATTACCTCATTGTTGCTATACTCATCTGTAAGAAATAAAGATGAAATAAAATTAACTCCAGCAAGAGGAAGACATGACACATCCAACTTCTTGAATATTTATCTCCTCTATTTAATCTCCTCTGAACACTGAAATCTTGGTTAGTAAGTAAAGCTCACTGCAGAAGAGGAACATGCTAATAACCAAGCTAATATTTAATATATTTTTTAAGAAGTCTGCCATGCATCTCCCCATCCCAGAGAAGTATCCAGGGGAACATTTGTTGTTGCCTTCTCAAAATTTCAAAAGGTCCTTGCCAAGAACACCAGCATGGAACTCCTCTCCACAAAACAACTTCTCACACTCCACATTATAGCACAAAATATTTTTCACATCTCCATTCTACATCTGGACCACCTGAGGCAGAGACATGAAATCCTTTCTCCATAGCTTTTGATAGAAAGGCTATCAGACTATGGGCTGATGTCTCTCATGAGATCTTGGGGCCTTTTTTGTTTGCACCTTCTACAACACTGCTTGCTTTCTGCTGATCAACACACGTTCAAAGCCTGAAGGCTACTGTCACTGGCCAGCTGTGCCTGTCACTTGCTTTTATCTCTTCTACACTTGTGGGGCTGTCATTTGAACTACAACAGTGAAGCTGAAGCACCACCAACACCACTCTGCATCAATAGTGGTATGAAAATGTTTCTGTTGAAGTCAGGAACAGGAGTCATGTACAGATCATTGGCAAAAAGTGTAATTGGAAAACACCATGTGACTGGCCACTGAAATTCATCATCAATTTCCATCTCTGACAACTGCCTGCTCAGGAAAACTCCTTTCTGTTGCTACCCAGCACAATGACTGTACCAGTTACAACAGCACAATTTATTATTCACATAGCAGGGGGGGTTCAGTCTGTCCATCTTTGCCAGGGCCATCAGCAGCTCCCCAAGAGTGCCTGCTTTCTCTCTTTACTTTCTGTTTGGCTGGTTGGTTTGGGTTTTTGTTTAACATGGGCATTTGCTCATACTGCTTCCTTTTCCAAAATGTGGCATTTTTCACACAGATTTTCATTCAGCTGTCCTCATCTTCTCCTACACACTGCTTAGCATGATTCCAGCAGGGCTTGATCATTCATTCTGCCTGTCCTGTGTCCATCACAATCACTCTCACCTTCACTGTAATCTCATAGACCCTCTACAGCCTCACCACTGTTAAACAACTGCCCACAGTTGTTTAACACGAGTTGAGGCCTAGAGCACTGCAAACGAGATTAGCACCCGGCCCTTCCCACACCAGCAGCAGGATTTGTGATGCTCTGACTCCATCGGTTTAAGAATGCCACATAGAACCCTCCTGCTCCTCCCTCCTAGCCCATCCAAATCCAGCATCTAACAATGACTCTACATTACATGGCAGCCAGGAAAGGAAGTGCACACATCCAGGTAACTCAAGATGCAGAAAACTTGTGCTGAAAACAATACTCAGTGAATCCAGAATGAATCCAACAGTCTCCACTGGGTTCTGTCATAGCCTGTGAGTGATGACGTGCCAGTGAAATTTCTGAAGTACATGAAAACATTGTTCTCTGAAAATGAATATATATATATATAAATTATTATTATTATTATATTTATACATACATACATATATATATGTGTATAATCCCTAGCTTTTCCTTTCAGCCATTTTAGGAAGGCATGGAATTTTCAAAATACCTTTCATGTGGAGAAAAACAGGACAAATTAGAAGAGTTGTTACCTTGTGGTACCTTACTGGCCAAGAAGATAGAGGAAGAACCTTTTTCTCATAATACGTCACCATGAGGCTCTTTTAATCAAGAGCAAACTGACTAAAATGTTCAGCCTGGATTAAAAAAAATACACTTTTGCCTTAAATACGCAATCAATCAAAGCGACACAATTACCTGGCCTGAATTAAAACACTTGGTGATTTGTACCTCAAACACAGACAACTCTAGAAATGCAATTATCCTGTTAATATTCTGAACTAAAGCAAAATGCTTTTGAACACTTAATAAATCTTAGGATGGAAAATTTAACATTCAGTAATATTGTTATATTGGTTTTACTACCAGATGTATAAGTACCAATTTGTCACTTCAAAAAGAAAGACAAGACTGACGGCATTTCTTAATTGAGTCGGCAACTTTGCCAAAACACTCCACACCACTTCTTGATACAGAGTGAGGGTAGAGAGGGGGAACCCTCTTCAAGCAGAAACAGTTGTGCCAGGCCAGCTTTGAATGGACAGCCTGCATTGTAAAGGCCCTGGAGAGATCCCAAGGTCATCACATTCTGTTGAGGACAGAGCAAAGACTTGAAAATCTGGTGCTATTCTGTTTACATACAAGGCTGTTGGCCAAAGCAGAGTAAAGCACTTTGGTTTGTTTTTCAGTGATATTATCAAGCTGCAGAAGAGAGTTTCATGCATTAAGGTAATGAGATACATGCTAATTGTTTAAAATGTGGTACATAGATTTTTTTCCTCCATTATTTCTTCTTGTTATGAATTATAAAATACAATAGTAACAGTTAGAAATAGTTGTAATTAGGATAAAAAGACACATTCTTGCTTTCACCACTGAATTAACCAAATGCTCTCTGTCAACTAGAAATGAAAACATGATCATGAAGAGTACTAATCAGCATTAATAGAGAGATTAACTGTACTTAAATCACTAAGCTCAATATAAATGTTAACTTCAGTTACATGCCATAGGCCATACATCACTGTCACAGGAAAACAGCCAGTTTGCAAGCTGCAGATTAGAAGATAATGAATCAAATATTATTGTGATCAAATACAACCCTCAGCCAGAACACAGCAATTTTAGATCAGCAACGGGGCTTTAACTGAGAGCATTTGGGCAAGTTGTTTTTCAAATTTCATAGAGCGATTTGGGTTGAAAAAGCCTTTAGAGATCATCTAGTTCCAATCCCCCTACCATGGGCAGGGACACCTTGCACTACACCAGCTTGCTCAAAGCCCCTCCCAACCTTTGAATGCTTCCAGGGATGGGACATCTAGAGCTGCTCTGGACAGCCTGTTTAATTTGTGAATTAAAAATTGTAACACTTGATTGTAGCAGCAATGACAAGATGTCTATGCTTCTACAGCAAGACTGTGCTCCTGAAGGAACAATCCCAAACGACAAAATATCAAAGTAAATTTGTCACATTTTAGAATGGGCTTTAGAGTGAAATCTTTCATTCTAGGAAAGGAAGGGCTTTGTTCACTGGGGAGTACTCATCCATCATAGTGCTGCCTCTAATGAGTGCACCCCAATTCTCAAGTGGTGGCAGGCAAACCAAAAGGGAAAGCAGAGCATAACACACCTGTACATCACATTTGTACCAAACCATTTCTAAGCAAAAGCCAAAACCTCATTTCAACAGCTGCCAGTTCTAGAAAGTGAGAAAGGGGTAAGAATCTTCACTGCAGATGAAAATGAATCAACTCTGTGCATCAGTCCCAGGGAGCTGGGGGCAGGTCTCTGCTTCATCCTGAAGGGATCAAACAAGACACTAAGCTACTTTCTCACAGCAGCAATGCTGTGACATCATGATGCTGCAGCTGAGAGGAAAAACTGCCTCAGTGATAGAATGTAAGTCAAACCTAGTAAGTGGTAAAGAGATTTACAAAATGTAAAGCATTTGACAAATACCCCAGTTGACAGTAAGGATGCAGGGAAGGAGAATCCCAGACTATTTGAAAATCTTTTTCTCTGAGTGTACAAAATTTCTAAATATCTGACAATATGATCAACATATCTGTCTTTAGAAGGATAAGAGGTCATGCACTATACACCATATAGTTTCATTGGACAATCTTAGTTATTTTACACACTAAAATATGACTTTGGATTATTGTTTACCTTTGTAATTCGTAATTTAGCTGAGCTGTAGAAGGAACATGCTCTTACAGGGCTTCGTAGCAGCTTTAGAGCTGTAGCAAAGTCTTTTCACTCTAAGAGTTTTTGGTGTGTTTAAATAACATTTATCATGCAAAGAGCTGAATTGATAACCTTTGCAAAGGTATAGTCCATTTAATAAGATATTCTGTAATCCGGTGCTTTTGCACACATATACTTACATAAAGTAATAATCCTCTCTAAATCTAATCCATGTAGTAATCTAATGTAATCTTTTAATTAATGGATCTGGGATAAAATAAATGTTTGGCAGGTAGAAATGCAGAAATGGTAGCTACCCAAGTCACTCAAGTGCTAAATAAATTTAAAAGAAAACCCCAAACAAACAAGAGATAAGAAGAGAGAACCCAGAACCAGGGCTAAGCATGGGAGAAAAATGTGATGGTGAGAGGCAATGCTGTGCATCTTTGTGCTACATATCTTACAGTCACAGAATGGTTTGGATTCGAAGGGACTTTAAAGATGACCTATTCATAACCCTCTGTCATGGGCAGGGACACTTTTCACAAGACAAGGCTGCTCAAATCCCTGTCCAACCTGGTCTTGAACACTGCCAGGGATGGGGCAAATACAGCTCCTCTGGGCAACCTGTTCCTGTGCCTCACCACCCTCACAGTCAATAATTCCTTTTTAGTATCTAACCTAAATCTACCTTCTTTCAGTTCAAAGCCATTACCCCTTGTCAAATTTTTCTTTTCAGCTCTCTTGCAGCCCCCTTTAGGGTGCTATGAGCTCCCACCAGAGCCTTCTCTTTTCCAGGCTAAACAACCCCAACTCTCTCAGCCTGTCACCACAGAAGAGGTGTTCCAGTCCTCTGATCATCACTGCTCTCCTCTGGACTCACTCCAACAAGTCCACACCCTTCTTTATGTTGGAGGCCCCAGAGCCGGTTGCAGTATTCCAGGTGGTTCCCACAAAAGCAGAAGAGAAGGGCATAATCACCTCCCTGGACCTGCTGGCCATGTTTTCCTTGATACATTCCCTTAACCCCTACTTCAAAGACTCAGAAAGTGCTGAAAAGGCTGTCTGATAAAAAGGCAGTAAAAAGGCTACAGATCTTGGAAAACACCTCATTGTGAAAGCGTAATTAGTTTAGTAACAAAAAAACCCCACCTGATTATACTCTATAAATGTTCTTATTAAAAAAAAGACTATTCCCTGGCAAAGTATTCTTCAATTAAGTTGAGAAAATGCAGAGAAAAGCCAGATAAATTGATCCTAGTTGCTGAGGCAAACTGCTGAGGAAGATACCACATTTTCCCTCTGAGCTCTCTTCAAGGCAAAGCTGGGCACCCTTCCGGAAGGCATGTCTGACTCCAAATCAAATTTGTGCTATCACAAAGAGAAAACTCAGCAAAATTGCCTGTCATGAGTTTTCATCTCATGCTCATCAGCATGACTTTCTGGGTTGAGCACCTCTTCATCCAGACACCACAGGACTGTCTCCCTGAAGACTGGCAGCAGAGACTCCTCCTTGGCTCTCATACTTCCCATCAGCAAAAGCACCGAACAGTCAAGATAAAGTTAAATTAATTAATTAGACTAAGAGAAAACAACAGCTTTGTAACTGTTCAAAGGTTTATAAAATGAAAATTTCATTTTTTAGTGGCCATGGTGCTCCACCTTTTAGAGTGAAAAGAGCAGAGTCAAGTTCACAAGACAAATTCCTTATAATAAATGACCAAGAACCTCTAAATCACACTCTTTGAAAAAATTCAGACTCAAAATTTATGTCAACTACAGGCATCCTTCACAGTTTCTGTATATTTTTGTTATATCATGGGTATATATTACCAAAACTAGTCACACACAGTATGGAAAACATTTCCATTCAACTTTTTAAAAATAGTAAATCAAATTTCACTCTTAACATCTGAATACTTCTATTCAAAATTGTTCAGAATTTTTCTTCTAAGACTTCTTCTAAGTCTTCCTCTTATAATCATTTTTTAAATGATTATAATGACTTTTTTTAAAAACTACAACCATTATTAATAATTACAATAATTTCTATGGATAAGAAGAAGCTGGAAGTCTTGGATTTTAGGCAAGGTAGTTGTTGTTCTGCATCAAAGATATTACAGTCTTATACTGCTGGTCTAATTGCCTTCACTCCTTTCTATTCTGCTCCCTGCCATAATAGCTCTATGCTTCATTGACCTTCCCTTATTTTCATAAACTGTGCCAGCCATTTACCTTTATTTGCTTCTCTATTGCTATATTAAAACAATTCAAGAAGATTAACTATCAAAGCACAGGCTGCCTTTGCAGAAGTCATGCTATTTTGATCCCATCTTATCATGGTTTTCCAGCTGCTTGATAGCTGTATTTTCTCTTTCTTTTTCAGTTTAATCAGTTTGCCAGATACTAAGGCAGGGCACACTGGTTTATAACGCCCTGGATCACCTTCAGTGCCCATTAAAAATACAAACACCAGTGTGCTCCTTGCCAGTGCTCCAACACACATTGTTTTAATTGGAAATAACACCATTTCATTAGTCAGCAGGAATGTCCCCCAAAGTGCATTTTGCCAAATTCAGTGCAGAGGCCAGGCTGCTGCTGCTGCTCTGTGTACCTGTAGCAAACAGTACATCAGTAGTTATGGCTATAGTGCAGAATGACAGCCCAAAGAAACCAAGGCTGGTCCTGACAGAGCACCCAATACACGAGCTAGAGCGCTGGAAACAGAGCTTAGGCAGACACCTGCAGGCTGACTGCACTGTGCTGTGCACAAGCCCTTGGGGGACAGCTGGGGTGATGCTGCTCTCTGTGGTCCAGAGAGTTAAAGGACTTGTTGCTGTCATGTTTCATAATGTACTTTTCTTTAGAACTGAGCAAGGAGTATGAGCCACACATAACTATGCAGTAGCCCTTGGACACAGCATCTGCTCAGCCCTACCTGCAAAAGGCAACGTGGTGAACCTGTCTGAGCAATTAACACTTGATAAGTTTGTAAGAGCTTGTCAAGAAAGTTAAAGGCACCTTCAAAAACAAAAAAATCTACTACTCTTTTCAACAGTAAAAAAAATACAGGTAAAGCATGGCAGGTTAAACATTTGGATAAACATTTATCCAAAGCCATTTTCTTTTCTAGTCTGGTTAGAAAACAAAATATAATTCTGTAGCTCACCTGAAATATTTTTGTCTCCTGTTAAATAAGCTAACTCACAAAAAAAATAAATTATTCATAGAGTATTATTTTTAAAAACTTGTGTGTGACAATCTTGCCATGTTTCAAGTCTCTAGTCCAGACCCTAGAATTACAAGACATTTTAATAACTTTAAAATATACTTTTCTCTAAATCTGGTTAATATATAGCTAAATGGCATTTGTAAAAGTCAAGCAAGCAGATTTGAACTCCCTCTTATACCCAGATTTAGCTCCCACTGACAGAGGCAGTTAGGCAGGAAAACTTCATCCCACTTGGTCAGAAGTTACAGCCTAGCAGAGAAAACCAACTTCAAATTGACACCATTAGGTAATACCAATGACTTATGACTTATGATGAACAGTGAGATACTGCATGTCCTGGGGTGAAACCCACAATGTGCCCCAACGCACCGAGCAGCTGTAAGGGATCCCTCACCTGACACACAGCATTTCTGCAGCCACTAGAGACTGTCATACTAGAAAATAATCCAAAGATTATTATAAGGCTATGGCAAAAATATTTCTGAAAGCAGCTCTTAAAGTTATCAACTTAATAATTATTTTATTCCAAAAATCCCGAAGAATTGAAATCAACAAACAAACATTATTCTTTCGGGGCACATTCACAGATGGAAGCTATAGAGGCTGTGCAAAAAATAATTAACTAATTAATATGGTTAATTAAAACTTCTCATTTACTTTATATTCATAACTTTTAAAGATGTAAAATTTATTCTTCCTTCACTTGTTCATTTTTAAGACTCCACAGTAAAATTCCGACCTCTAAGAGATGTGTCACAGCAGGTTTGTTAACACTGTTCTTCATTAAGCCTCTGTAATGCCTGACTGATTTTAGCAGTGTGATGTGTACAACTAAATATGGAACAGCTCAGTAAAATCAAATGATGAACAAATGCACATTCACATTGTCAGGTGTCTAATATGTAAATGCATTTATTAACTGGACTCCATAAACTGCTAATAGTGTGCAGTCATTAATGATGCAGTCATTGGGAAAAAATAGGCCTACAAATCCATTAGATAACAGTTTGCAAAATAATTAGCTGCTTCAGACCATTTCACGTTAATGCACTCAAACTCCTTTAAAACCTTCCAAACAAAAATGCAAAAAACCTCCAAAAATAAAAACCACACACACAAAAAAAACCCAACAAAAAAACAACAAAGAAAACTCCACAACAACCTAAATCTCTGCGTGGTTAAGAGTATAAATTTGCAACAGCTTTGTATAATTGAAGCAATGAAGTGAGATATATTCATTCCATTAGAAAAACGTACCAAATATCCCCTTAAGATGACTGAAAAGTCTCATTTTGAAAAGCATGGTTTTTCAGACACATTTTTTATCCACCACTCTGGACCATAGGTAAGCTACAAGTGCAAAGTGGTGCCATAGCAGCTATATGGACCTGGGAAAAACTGGTGACAAAGTGTTACGCTGAGCTGATTTGATCCTACAATTTACACATCAAGTGTAAAGCATCTGTATCACTAACAGGGCTACAGCCTATGCCTATAAGCCTCTTTAAGTACCTGCCTACCCTGGAAAACCCTTCTTCCCATACTGCCTGGCTATAAGGGAATAAAACCTCACTACACATCCACAACAAAGCAAGGCACAGGGAAGATATTGACCTTAACTGTTAAAAAAGGGCACTAGTGAGGAGAGTGAAAAGGTTACTGGGGCATTATGCCCTCTCCTTGCGGCTCTCCCAATCAATCTAATGGAAATACAGTATGAACATGTTCAGGATGTACATTTTTTTCAAGGCAGCACCTGGAAAAGTGATGTAATTTTGTCTCTGTACAGCATCTGCACTGCAGAATGATAAAATTTACAACATCAAGCATGGGACTACAGTAAACTTGTCACTTATGTCCTCATCTGAGTACCAGAAACTGCACAAGCATGTAATTATTTGTCTGCACTGGAGAAACACATGTCAGGGGGAAGGAGTAGAGAAAATAAGGTGTTTTTGGGAGGAGGGCACATCAACCATCCCATCAGAGCCCTTCTCCTACTAAGAGAGAAACAAATTTTCTGAGTGGTAATATCTGGAACATTAAAAAAAATTAAATAAATCAGAATCTCTACCCTACAACTTGGATTTATCCTCTATGGCTTATGGTAACATCATAGAAAACTGTACTTGGAAAATATCCTTTGTCACTGCTTATATGAAAATTACTATAAAGAGGTTGTGTTCAAGAGACAGGTGAAGTTGTTTATTCTCATAACTCATTTTTAGTGCAAATGTTCTTGTTCTGTGCAGAGAACACATGGCTTTTTTTTTTTTTTCTAGAGCTCAAGCTAATTTCATGTACATGTTAAGAATCTGCTCCAAGGCAGGAATGCTTTCAGGTGGGCTATATAGGAAAGATGACAAAAGTCTCATGATACTGCAGACTGCTTCAAATATTAGGTTTTAAAGCACTAGTGTACTCCTGGCACTCTTTTATTGTGAGCTGGGAAAGTACCAGTATTCATCAAAACACAGCAGGAGTCAGTTCCAAAGCCAGGTACCTGACATTTAATCTGCCAATAAAATGCTGCTGGTGCACAGTGTTTAGGGCAGCCAGGTTAGCCGATAAAGAGCCCTTTTCATCCTCTGCTGTCTGTAATTACCACATTCCTGTCGGGAGCAAGCAGAGCAGCCCCTGTCCTGCACATGCAGCACTGCAAATAGCACAGGGTAAATTTAGCAAAGAAAACCCAGTTTTAAAGGACTCACCTACACCAGAAGACCTATTAAGAAAAACAGGTTATTGCTACAGACCAGCAAACACCACACCTACTTAAGTGCAGCTCTTCATGGCCAGTAATTCAAATCTTTAGCAAAGCAGTTGCTTACTAGCACCTGCCAGCAGACAAAGAAAATGAAATGGGAAGGCAGAAAACAGCACACAAAGAGAGTTTGGCTATGTTCTAAATGGCTATTAAATGTGGTGTATGAGGAGGATTCTGGCTCTGCTTCCTGAGATGACCACTGCACACCTCCTCCTGCTTTCTGCAGTGTACAAGGTTGGCTGCAGAAGTGAGCTTCACTGAGCCAAGACAGAGAGCAAGAGACTTAAAAATAAAAGCACAGAATATAGATAAAAAGAGGAAAAAAAGAAAGACATAACACCGAAGAATTTCAATCTTTTACAGCCCCACCCTCTAAACACAAGAGAGACAGAATTAGTCTACTGCAGCCAAGAGAAAGTGTAGAGTAACCATATATGTCTAACTGATTTTAGTAATTTTTGGACCACATACAGGAGCTTTAAAGGAGATAATGAAATTACAGCATTCAACTTATGCAGTGTCACCACTCTTTCCAAGAGGGACACAGAAATCTGCTTTTGAACTATTCGTAAAATAATATCACGTAAAACGTGAGTCACTTGAGATGCTAACATGAGAGCTCAAGGAACTCTGGAGAAACTAGTCTAAAGCATTATAGAGCAGGCATCACCTTGCATAGTGGGCATATATCTATGGCACAAAAACAAGTGGAATGCGCCAGTAGTGAAAAATCTGGTAAGCTACAGATCCAGCTGATCAGTAAACTAAAAAGTGTCTGTTGATTCTCTTGTGAATCCTTTTAATAGAATACAAAGACAACTCATCATCCTATGCCCAGGGAAGGTGCCCCCACTCACAAGGCTTACTAAGGCCATCCTCTATATTCTTTCCTATCACCTCAAGCAAGTTTGAATTCTTGGGTCAGTAAGGCGTTATGAGTTTCAGTCTTGCAAGACATGTTGTGGTAGAAGAGCTGCACAGGCAGTATTATTCCCAGTCTGGAGAAAATTAGTTTATTAATTAACCTCTCTGACAGTCTCTCACATTTCATTTTAAATCCAGCTAAATTCTTGTTTAGTCTAAAGAGCCAGATGTATTGAGCTCCTGGGACATAATGCAGTTTGGCTCTGCAGACAACTGAAGGCAGAATCCAGTGGAGGTGGAGACATAAATGTATCCTCTACCATTTTTCGTGAAGACGTATACCACAACTTCACTCATTTTAAATTCAAGGAACACTGGATAACAGGAGAGGAGAAAGGTGACCCAAGAAGGAAGGAAGGCAAACAAACAAATGAGTATCTTAAACCTTACAGAGAACATGTACTCAAGTATCCTGACATCACATGAAAAGTCTTTCTTCAATGCCCTCATATCACTTTCATGAAAATTTGTTCTGCCTCTTAGTTACCATCCCAAGTAACAACCTGAACAGCAATCCCTTTAGGCTTTCCATCAAAGCACTACACTCAGGTATTTTTTTCCTCCAGTTGACAACATGAGTGACAAGAACAGTAGCAAGGCTCTGCACGTATCAGTAATTTGATTCCTGAGGAGCCAGCAATCCATCACACAACACTTTGGCTTAGCCCCCCCCAAAAAGCTGCATAATCTATTTCTGCGACACCTCATGCTGAACAGCTTAGCACAGGTTCCAACATAGCACCAGTTGTCTTTGCCAACTTCCATCACACTTGGCATTTTGTGGATGCTCTTCTGAAAGTAATCAGTCAAAAAAATGTGATAAATAGGTAAGGAATCTCAATACAGTAATCAGGGCCAGAAAAATTCATGTAAGTTGTACTTGTGGCCTTCAGGAAGATGTAGCTTTTCAAAAGAAGTTATTTTAAGTGTGTAGCCAGTGGGAGTTGGGAGCTTATAAGGTCATACAGAATCTGCCACCAGCAGAATACACGCTTTTATGCAAAGAAAAATTGATACTGCCTTAGAATGCAATATACGAAAAAATCACTTGGTAATGGATGGGCCCTGAGAATGAGAAGGCAGAGCGAGAAATTTGTTGCCTGGAGGAGACCAAAACTGGAAATGCTCTGCTGCTTTTAAGACCATTATGAAGATGATAAATAAAAAAATTCAAAACTTAGGAAGGAGAAACATTGTGAGTTGGATACCAACCCTGTGCTACCTTAACAGTGGATACTTTATGTTCTCAAGGATTTCACTATGGAAACTTGACATTTTCTTTATAAAGGAAAGATTTTTTTTTTTTACTTTCCTTTAATTCTTTACAATAGAATTACAATAGTAACAGAAATATACATCACATATAGAAACAAGTGTTTTGAGAATGTCTTCACAGAATCAGAACCTTGATTTCTGCTCTTCTTTCTAATCACTGTACCACTTCCCTTGTGTCATAGGCAAATAGAACATTTTATGTACAAGTAGTCAAGAGGATGCTTCTAAATTGTCATTTGAGTTCCTCCATCACTATCCATCAGTTTTAGCAGATAATCTCTATTTCCATCACAGCTTCCCTGCAGCTTGGCTGATTTTGTCAAGCATGTGGCAGACTTCATTTATGCACATTTTTATGTAAAGTGATATCTGTGTACCAATTTAAAGCTTGAGGAACAGAAGCGTCCTATAACTCAACAGGTAACAGTTCTACCATCTACATCCACCCAGATGAAAGTGGGAATTCAAAATTATCTCTCTGACATAGTGTGAGAACACAAGTTTTCTGTTCCAACTGATCTATTGCTAATCTTTGTCTCTTTCAATTTCATCAGAGTGACTGGAATAAAAATGCAAATCAGACTTTCACTAATACTTTCAGTAGGCATGGCATTTACAAAGCAATTTCCATTAGGGGCCCCTAGTCATGTACTGATAATTTCAAAAATAAATCCATTTCCAATTTTAAATTTCCGTGGTCCATTTCTTCTCAACGTTGTATGCCTTATTTGAAAATTTGGAGAGAGAAACTGTACAGTTAAGAGCGTGGAGGTTTTTTCAAGCCTTTAATACTTGCTAAATAAATGATAACCATATTTTCAAGCTATCAATCTTCTGACTTCTGCTGCTTGGCATACTGAGGCTTTCTCCTCAAAATCAAAGCTGTTAATCTTGTTACAGTCAAGTGACTGAATGAGGAAGGAAGCATCCAGACACATTCCCCTCTCCCTGTGCCCTGAGGCTTGCATCTCCTCCACACACCACTGCCAGCCCCTGCCCTACAGCAGAGTCATGGATCCATCTTCTGCTCCCACCCTGGAAAAGACAAACGACCACATCAAAGACCAACAACTGCACATTCAAAGAGTTCAAACAGTGAAATCACTTGAAAGGATCTGGTTAGTGACAACTTTATCCCTAAAGTAAGTTAATTAAAAAGGTGTAAGGTTATATGTTGTTTCTTTTTCCAATATTCTACTTAGCAAATGCAGAATTGACACCATTGAGTTTGGGGTTTTTTTACTGATTAGAAGTTAAATAGAAAAGGAAATATTCATAGACTCCCATCAACAGTCAGAAGTGTCAGTAAACTTTTAAACAACTATTCCACTACTGATATTAATTCAGCTTTATTATGTATATTTAGTATGTTTTGTCTTGCTTTTCTCATTAACTATACATCTTAACATTGTACTACATTTTACACAATTTAAAAATATGTAAAATGAGACAATGTTAACCCTCTTAACACTGTTGCTGGACTCTTACTTTCTGGTATGTAGTGATCTGTCTTTTTGCCTCGGTGTAACATTTACAGTTTAATATCAGTACTGCTTTGATCCTCAGCAGGTCCATCTCCAGCACCTGTTTCTTGTAGAAACAGCCTGATTTCTGATCACTGAGTGATGCTGGGCATTGCTGAGTGAATGCTCAGCCATCAGCACAAAAGACCTTCAGCCCAGATCATCAGGAAATTTACACATCTAAATTTAAATGTATGTCTACCGTCACTATTCTCATATAGGCAAAGATATAAGAGATCAAGATTAAGGCTTTGTTTTTGTGGAAAATAGTGAGCTGACACCAGCATTAAATATTTCTTTCATTATTTTTTTTTCAGGTGAATGATGAAGTAAGCAATGTTTTCACAAAATCCTTAACAGAGCTTTGTGGGAACCTATTTATATTTGAAATATGATTTTCGTATTATTTCCAATATATTTATGAAATTGATCTAAGAATACAGTTAAAAATTAAACTTTTGAAAACATGCCACAGCAATAGTTTGCAATCAAAAGGGTGTGTCAGGCATTAAATGAGGGTTATATGAAGCAGATGCACCAATTTTAGAAGAAATTTATGGATAAAGTAAGGGAGTACACACTAGTGTTAGGACAGCATGAAATGAAAATGGTTTACACTGAAAATATAGAATAGAAACTATGTTTCTGAGGTTGCACCAAAAAAAAAAGTCTACTGCATATAAGTGGCTAGTGAAAAGAACAAAATCAAGACTATTTCAGATAATGGATTGAATTTTTATAGTCAGCTGGTGCCCAGCCTACAGAAGATATGACATTTTATTTCAAAGCCTGAAAATCGTTTCATGGAAAAGATTATTCTGGGAGGTATTGAAAAACACCTGGAAGACATAACAGTCATTGGCCACAGACAGCACAATTTCATGAGGGGAAGTCCTACTTGTCAAACCTAATATCCTTCTGTGACAGGGTAACTCACCTAGTTGATCAAGGGAACCCAGCTGATGTAACCTTTTGGATTTCAGTAAAGCTTTTGATAGTGTCTCTCACAGGATCCTTCTGGACGAAATGTCAGGCACACGGATGGATAAACACCATGATGTCATGCCATGGGTGAGCTGCTGGCTCATAGGTCGGGCACAAAGGGTTATAGGGAATGTGGAACTCACCAGTGGAGTTCCACAGGGCTCCATCCTCTGTCCTGTGCTCTTCAACATCTTGATAAATAACTTGGATGCAGGACTGGAAGGGATCCTAAGTAAGCAACTGATGACACTAAATTGGGAGGAGCTGTTGACTCCCTTGAAGGCAGGGAGGCCCTGCAGAGAGACCTTGACAGATCAGAGGGCTGGGCAACCACCAGCTGTGTGAAGTTTGGGATGGGAAAGTGCTGGATTCTTCACCTAGGATGAGGCAACCCTAGTTGTGCATACGGTCTGGGGAACAAGAAAAGCTTGGTAATGAGAAGGGTTCCTGCTATCCGCAAGCAACTTTGTTACTAACATGTATCCCATTTTGAAGAGGGGAGAACAAGGAACAGCCACCAAAATGCAAAGAACAAGAGAAACATCATAGAAGTTGTAGAATCCAGAAAAAAAGTTTTCAACTGGCAATGCTGCAAATTAGCATAAAAAGAGCAAGTCCTCCTCAGTATCCACAGAAATCCTAAGAGCAGTCTGTATCCTGAGAAGAAAGTGAGGAGAGTGATAGTAAGACCAAAAAAGTGTAAAAATTCAACAAAAGCGCTTGGTATTTGACACAGGCTGTCAGTCAGGAAGAAGGATCTCTGCCACTGTCACAAGGGCAGCAAACCCTTTGTGGAAATGTTGTCCTGTATAAAGGACTCAGAGACTCTTAAGAAAGCCATTGCTGCCAGCAGAGCAACAAAACCAAGAGCCTTCTTGTCATTCCTTGAAGATTTGCAACAAACATATGGACTCTCATTTGCTCACTTGTATTGCGAATCTTACTTGAATATGTAGATTGAGTGACTCCACATTTTTTAAAAAGGCCATCATTTTAAGTCTAAGAATAAACAATCTGGGCTCTCTTCCAGAAGATTTAAATTGTTTATTTTTTGTAAGAAGGAGCCTCCTCCAGCAGAAATCAGTCCTGGCTGCCATATCCACAGGCAAACCTTCTTAGGGGAGTTTATGCCAAGCCAAACAACTTTACTCACAATGTTTCCAGGTAATTTACTAGAGAAAATTAGATTTTTCTGGAACTGTATTTCATATCTTCACTGGCTAGAAATCATCCAGAATTAAGCTGGTTAACAAAAACCAAACCTAGGCTTCAATAAAACTTGTGAATCTATAAAAAGTGCAGCCATTTTCAACTGTAACTCAACCTCTACGCTCAAGGAAAGTTTCCTGTGGTCTCAAGCAGAAAACTCATGCCCATGAACAGGGGGTCAGACTCAAGTCATTGTGTTTAAAACAGACTTTTCCTTCTTTTCACATGGACTATTTCAGCCTGACAGGCTTGCAGCCAGCCACACCAAAGTGCTTCCTAACAAGTAAAGCACTACATCCACAGCTGTTTGGTGCCATCAGCAGGGCCAAACTCCTATGATTTAAGTTGATACCTGCTCCTAAATTACAATTTGCACATCCATATGATGTGACTCACTGAATACTTGCTAAGATATTATCAACCAGAGGCACTCACAGCCAAGAGATCAAAGAATTGTGTGAGACCCGATTATCCTCTACACATAGGGGTGGGTAACTACTTGTAAGGCTACTCTTCCACTAGCAAACCTTCTTCACTCTGCCAATAAAAGTACCAGGTCATAAAGCTTCTGAAAACCTGCATGCTGCTTAAAGTCCCATTACCAGAAATAAATTTATTTTATTTATAAATCTGCATAATCTCCTCTTCACTGTTTTAATTCTTTCCAGTATTGGAAAGGTACTTGACACTACAAGCTCTTAGCAATTTTGAAAGACTACTCAGAAATGTTAGTGCATCATGTATTTCGGTGGCATTAATTTGAACAATTTTACCACTAGCTTGAATGCAAAGTTTTCTGGGACTTGTGTTTCATTGTGGTTTTTTTTCACTTAGACTTGTCCTCTTTTTTTTTGTTTCTGACAAAGCCACAATCTGATCAACTGTTGTTTTAATTCTTTTACTGTTGTCTCCTCTCATAACTACTGATACTCTCTGCCTATAAAAGTATGTTGCTAGCTTTCTGTATGTGAGGAAGTTAGAGGAAGAACACCTTTATTAAAAGGGGGAGACTATTTGCTCCTTTAGTGAAAGTAGGAAAAAAATAATCAAACCACCTTCCACAAAAAGTAATCGAGAGCAGCATTAACATTGTTAACACATTGAGAAGACTTGAAGAAAGGTAAAGAAAACTGTACAAAAAGAAGGCCTGAGGATGGTAGAGAAAAACGTATAAAGAATGCCTGGACATTAGAAGAAAATAACAGAAAAGTTATTATTTTTCTTTCTTCCTACTACTGTATAGAATGTGTATCATTAATAATAGTAAATGCCTTATGATAAGTGTCAATGAATCTTCCACATGAGATACTCCAATATACAGAAATAAAGAAATAATTTAATGCACTCATAGGAAAATGTGGAAAGGGACTGTGAACCATGAGATTTTTGGGGGGAGCAATATGCTATCCCCTTTTTTGACAACACAGTTATTGGTATGAAAACATCTACATGAACTGCAATCCTATTTCCAATAAACAGAGAGAAGACAGACATCACTGGGTCGAAGAGTATAAATTAGCTTTATGCAGTCTAAGCTGTAAAGCTGAAAAGCCAAATGCTTAACATCATGTCTCCCCAAAGCAACATTTAGTTCATCGTTCCCATCTTCATTTGCTAGCTCCATATGCTGCCTCTCACTTTCCAGATTTCTCACGTTCACCACTTCACGAGCAACGTCTATAAGCGCACACCAAAACCAAACTGAAGAAAAACCCCAAGTTGCTGCATTTATGGAGCTACTTCTGCCCAAATGGGAGACTAAATGATTCCTCTGAAACTCAGGGATGCAATGGAAAGGTAGGAGCACTGAGACAGGTGGCTCTGCATTTAGGGAACACAGGTCAGTGCCTTCCCAGTGACAAGACTGACACTTCTTCCAAAGTACAGGGTCACCTTCCCATCCTTGCACACTACATGGCATGCAGGAGAAACCTGTGTCAGCTGCAAAGCTCACACTTGGCAAAAATATTTCCAAATCTGACAAAAAAAGAAAAAGTATAACTTTTCTACTAACTCAGATTCGGTGATTTTCAGAACTAACCAATGAAACCACAATAGCAAGAATATTTCAAGAGGTTGATTTGTCACTTGTGTCTTTATTTGGAAGCAAAAAGGCACAAGGGTCTCCCCAAAGTTTTTGAGTCCATATATGAAGTGACTTTCTGATTTTCATTGATGTTCAGTTTCATCCAGGTTCCTGAATTACCTCCACAATT